AATCACTTAGTACATTCTAAAAGTATAAAAACAGTAGTTAAAGAATATTCGTATGCGATACCTACTATCACTTACTAAAAAATATAATTGTCGTTTTCTTTAAATACGTATCTTTTAACAGGTGCATAGAACGCAAACTCTCTTTCTATCGTCCAATCTTAAATCGATATACCTTTTCGATGGCAAATCGTCTCTTCATATATGCCATCAACAAGACCGCTAATCTTGTAAGTTCTAATATGTACTAATTTTTCTCTTTTTGGCTTAGCTATTTCTTGCGCTGAAGTTTTTCTTTAATTGTTCTCATTTGCCTTTGTAAGGTATTATTTTCGTACCTAGTCAAACATGCAAAATTAAAGTAATATGTGGCTTATATACTAGCTTTGTTTTCTTTTTATTGAATACTTGTGGACGATTTCATATTTAGCATTCGTATATAAAACGTGTCTTTACATTTCGTTTTTACTTTTGATAACTATATAAAATTAGAATTCAAAGCTGATTTATTGATTAGGTAGTATTCCCTCCGTCACAAATGCAACATAATAACTTTGGGAAGGAGTATTAACTATAAATTTAAAAATAAGCAAAAATTAATCTACTTGGGTTTTTACTGTGAAAAAACAAAATGAGTTGATTGAATTTTTCGAAGACAAAAGGTCCTTTTTTTCCCTCAAAGCAAAATCAATGGATCAAAAGGATGTCAAAGCTTACACATGGATTAGTACCGGTCAATCTTCTTTTATTTCCCCAACAAATGCCCATTAAAAAGGAAATGCACTTATTTGAATTTTATTTTTGAGAATATATATACTCCCAATATAATTTGGTAAGGAATTGAAGTTTCATTGTATCTTGGGAAAAAAAGAATAAATTTTCTTCTTAAAACAGGCGACTAATTATATGATATTAATTTTATTTTTTATTATTAGGTGTAGCTAATATTTTGAAAATCTTTCTACCAACTTCCTTAATAACACAACTATCCCCCCGCCCAAAAAAAAGAAAGGAAAAATCATATTAAAACCATATTTCGATTTCATAAGATTAATTCCAAGTTGAAAATGCCCATATATATTTGTTCTTTTTCATTATCAATCTTCTTAGGAAGTACTACAATTGGATGAAATCTTTTCTCAAGCTAAATGTAGAGTCGTGTATGTCAAAGTTATAAAATTTAACATAACTATAATTAATCTGTTTAAAAACAATTTTTTTATATGGCAAAAAGATATTTGATTGAATTGAGGTTGTCAATTAGAAGATCGTATAGATTTCAAATTTTAGCAATAATATTACGTCCTTCACACCGAGTAATTTTATTGACAACTTTCTACCCTATATATACCACTCAAGAGGAATCACCTCTTTGTCTCTTCTCCTAGCAAGTAGAAACAAGATAAATAGAAAGTTAGCAGTATGTATTACATATTTATTTTATGGCTAGAGAAAGTTGAGACGTGTATGAATCAGGGATGAGGAAAAAACAAGAAAAATAGTATTTAAAAAGAAAATTGATACTTTGTTTAATAAAATAAACCAGCTAGTTATTTTATGTGATTTACAGGTGGCAATGATCACGCAAGGTTTCATGGACAACGAAGAATCACTATGGCCATCAAGAGAGCAAGTTAATGAAAGGCTAGTTGAGTTTCTCAACATGCCGAAAGATGAAAGGCTAAAAAGATGGCAACATGCGATAGTTTTCTCCCTGAAGTTATAAAGAAAAAGGAGAAAAAAATTGTGAGATTTAACGCGCGATAATGACCTTAGAGAATTTTCATATCTCGTGAATGAGTTATAGGACGGGAGAATTGTAGTTCAAGATCTGGATCTAAGTTAAAGAGAAGGCAATTAAAAATTACTTCATCAATATTTTAAACAAAGTTCATAGAAGGGAGCAACAAGTTGTGTCCTCGCAAGAAGAAGAACAAGAGAACTAGATGATTGCACAATTTGTCTTTTTTTCTTGTAATTTCAATTCATAGTAATGCATATTTTAATTATTTATAAGGAGAATTTTATATTGTATCAATATTCTACTTTGTACCGCTCAAGAGTAATAAATAATAATAATTGTTATATTTACATCAATTTTATTGATTCCATGACAATATCTTTATTCATTTTCAAAAAAGAAAAAATCTTTCTTGTGATTTAGTAAACCAATTCTAAAAAGTGTATTAAAAACTGCAAATGGTAATTCTCCTTACTTAATCAATAAATGTGCTATTGATTTCTTTTTTCAAAGTTTGAAACTTATTTCATAAATGGTTACTTGAATAAAATCTATGTTTTAAAAATTCTATGATTTGTCCTTCATGTATTAATTTGAATAAGGAGCTTCATTTTTTTTCCTTTCTTTCTCCTTCTCAAATTTCTGGTAATAATGACTAAAAAAATATCGGCAAAAACATGATTACTAGGATTTGATATTTTTATTAATCATGGTAAGTAAGCCAAATATTATATGGTTATAATGAGGAAGATAAGATATGAATTACTTTAATAAATTACTATAAAACATGCACAAGTGGTACCAACCCTCTGAACGATTTTTTTTATATTTTTCTTTTCCATGATAAAAGAGGGAACGGTAATTAACTAACTGTAATAATAATACATAATCGTATGTTATAGAGAAACATAGTATGATTGTAATCAAGCAATTGACTAATAGTATTGATACGGAGGTTGAAATTCGTCATCTAGTATTTGGTAAATCTTCGGACTTATTATCAGCATATATTATAATTAGGGAATATAGACATAATTTTGGTAGTCCTTCACATGTGTGCATTTGTGTTTCTCATGTGTAACTTCTTTTATTTTCACTTATTTATGTTTTCTTTTCTTTTCTTTTCTTTTTCTTTTTTTTTATGTTTTTATATTGAAGGCAAAATTAATAACAAATAGGAGTTGTAACCTAAAAATTTTTTAATGTCATTATTTAGGAAACTCCAAACGGTGATTTCTTTTATTTTAATCTTTTTCTTGTTCTTCTTTTTTTTTTAATATTTATGACGACAAAAGTAACAAATAGAAGTTAATTTGTCGGTTGCATCTTAAAAAATTTTCACTGTCATTATTCTTTCTTTATGAATTTCATATACTCATTATTTTTTGGTGATAAGAGATGATCAATCATCTCCCCCATAATAATCATACGTTTTATATTACTTGTCTCTTGTTATACTCGTTACTTATCCATGTTCTTTTAAAAAGACCATTAGGTGTAACTCTCTTGTAGGATTTCATAGTTTCTTTTTCGTCTGGCTGTCTTTCTTCTTCCCATTTACCATCGTACTTTCCCTCCTTGCTATGTTGAAAAAAAGAAAAAGTCCCCACAAATTTAAGCGAAGATGAAAAATTATAAGGTGAAGTACGCATTCAACTCCCTCATTATAAGAACGAGAACAAAGAAAAATAGTTGAACTTTTTACTCTAAACGATATTGAAAAGAAGCGGTTGTGGTTTATAGAATTAATTTCTGTTTTCTTTATTGTTGTAGTTCTAATCTTCAGTTTTGTTAGAATTTACACATTTTTTTAGGTATTCATGTCTTCTTCATGATTTCTTATGAAATCTTTTTTTTTTTCCTAAGGTAAGAAATAATAATTGCTCCTCCCTGTGATTATTTATTTTGCCTTTCCACTGTTCATACATTTGCGGTGCTGGAAACCCGTTGAAACAATCCAATTTGTTTCATTAAGTTTCAGGTTTTCTTGAAAACAACTTTTTTAATTGTAATAATCAGAGGCACTGATGAAATTAACATGCACAGATAATATATTTAGAGATTTTTTATATATGTATATATATATGTGTGTGTGTGTGTGTCAAAGTAGACAAAAAGATAAATATAGATTATTATACTTTTCGTTACTACATCTTTAAGAAGTTGCATTATCATGGATTTATCAATATTGTGAATGTATAGTACTTTCTCTTCCATGTTTTAACTACAGTATCAATATGCTATATTTGTAATGTAGTAATTCACATAGAAAAAATACACACAATAAATAATAAGGTCATATTAATAATTTTGTGCACGCGCGAAACGCATAGAAACCCTCTATTACATCATTATTATTGGAACATAGTCGTAACTTTACAATTTTTATGTGAGGGTTGTATTTTATCTCTTTTTTATTGAAAGTTTAAACATCTTTAACTAAAAAATGCAAGATTTTTTTCACCTAATGTACATATTTTTTTACTCTCAAGCACAATAATATTGTTTTTTTACCATACATAAACATTTTTATTTACTTTGTTATTTTAGGAGAAAAGTTTCCTTTTTTTTTTTCCTTTCGGTTTCTTCTTCTGTATTTCGCTCCCGCGACGTCCTCCCCAAGATGACAAAACATTGAGCCCAGTCGGCCTTGTATTTCAGCCTACTAAACATTGAGCCCAGTCGGCCTTGTTGAGGAGATGAATTAAATAATATTCAACTTTCAATTACTCTATGGAAAGAAATAGTCTCGTTATCTTAAATTCAAATAATTTAACAAAAACTTTTGATTGATTTGGATCCGAGACTGAAACAAAAATTATGACTCGGGTTCAATGTAGTCGTAGCTATGCAATAATGTTTAAAATATTTGTTGAGGACATTTTTCTCCCTTAACAAATATTTATTATATTTCAATAGAATTAATCAAAACAAGAGTTTCACACACGGGGTGTAATATTCTAAAAAGATATAATAATCCAACAAATACAACTCTTTATATCGAAGAGAAATGTATATACTATAACTTGATAATTGCGAGGCAAAATTATGCCAACATTACTTTCACTTAATTAATATACACGTTATTTGGTACTTTTAAAGTTCAAAACTTTGGGCTAAAGATCTCTTATCTCCCAAATTATGTCCTTAATTTGCAATAATCCTTGAAATTATGAGGAATTTCCTCAATGCATATCCAATCACATTCATTCTCCTTGCTCATCAAGCATTACTATTATTTACACATAGACTTTTGACCAACAAAATTGGATTTTTTTTTTTTTCACTTGATACCCACTCACTTTAAGCAGCTACCAAGAACTTTCTTTGGGTCTTTAAATCAATTAAAAAAAAAAAGATGTACATCTAGATATCATCACCACATTTCAACCCCTATAAAAATGACAAATGTAAACATGAATGTCATATTAGTATTCTGTAATGTAAAATGGATGAAACTTGTTCCAAAATTCAATCAGAAGATGATGATCAAGTAAGGAAGCAGCAAGAAGAATCATGTGAGACAATCACACTCAGACCCATGGAACTATCTGATGTAGATGACTTTATGGTTTGGGTTACTGATGATAGGGTGAGTAAATATTGCCTCTGGGATACTTACACTTCAAAGGACCAGGCCATAGATTTCATCAAGAACCGTGCTATTCCTCATCCATGGTTAAAGGCAATTTGTACCAACAACAGGGCAATTGGGACAATCTCTGTTACACCAAATTCTGGGAATGATAAGTGCAGAGCTGAGTTGGGATATGTTCTGGCACATAGTTTCTGGGGCAAAGGGATCATGACAAAAGCAGTGGAGATGGTGATTTCTACCATTTTTGAAGAGTGGCCATATCTGGAAAGAGTGGAAGCACTTGTTGATGTGGATAACATAGGTTCACAGAGGGTTCTTGAGAAAGCAGGGTTCCAAAGAGAAGGTGTTTTGAGGAAGTATATTTTCTCAAAGGGGTCTTGTAGAGATTTGGTCATGTTCAGTTTTCTGTCTTCTGATAGGTGATCATAGATGATATGGATAAATTGTATCCTACCTTAGTTGATCATGGCTCTTTCTTATAGTATATACTTATCCTGTGTTTGAAACCAATGTTTCAAGTAATAAAGATTTGAGCCGGTTATATTCATGAGAAACAAATATTTTTATCTTTTACTACATGCTCAAGTCTAAATTCAAAGCCGGATGATAGTTAATAAAACTTTATTTACATTCTTATTATCGTACTAACAAAATTTTGTCTCTTCTAATGTCTATTTTTTGCAAATGTTTCAATGGTCTTGGTGCTTTAAAGACCTTCATAAAAATATGGTAGTAAAATGAAAACTCTCCAACAGCAAATAGTGTAAACTTTTTTGCTACCTGTCAAAATAATAAACAAACTGACGATACCGATACCAAGGTTGTAACATTTAAGTGGGGTCCATTGAGATGGATTTTTTTTTTTTAAAAAAAAAAACACTGACATTAAAGGTCTGTGTTGTGATTATAAGACTCTGTCCTTAGTTTCATCGTTACTTCATTTCAGTTTCAGATATGAAACGTGGGTTTTAATAGTCTTGTGACTTCTTTTAATTCGACATTCGTATGTGCTGATATTACGCTCGTGCACAAGTCGAACTATATAGGCTTACATAATCTTCATTTATTTAACCTTTTCTAATCAGAAGAGAAACATAACCAATCATTCATTTTTCAACCTCTAGTTGGAGAAATTTCCGACAAATGTTTTTTTCATGTCTAAGAAAGTTGTGATATGCCAACCAATCATTCATTTTCAAGTAGTCTAGACTCTAGTATTCAAAATTTAAAAAACTGTAGTTTGTTGATGCGAAGCTAAAATGGGATGATATGAACTGTCTTTTCGGTGACATTAATGCAAGGGAGTTTGAGAAACAACTTTGGTTTTTACCGAGTGCAATTACTAATTATGTTAAAGATTAATTGTTTAATCTTTACAATATTGGGAAGTTCTGTTCGAAAATCAGGACTTCATGTCAATAGGCGCAGCTAAAAAGAAAACAAAAAACATCATCAATGGACAATAATGATTAACATTAATTAAAGTTTGTAACAACACACAATATGAGCAATCCTCACTTACAAACAGCAATTGAATAAAAAAAATTAAATGAATTTTCAGGTTGTAGACTAAATTTACAGATCCTACAAATGCAATCACACGAGGATCGAGATGGAGAGATCTCCATGTGTGATAAAACCATAGTCTAAGATCATCTATTCTATCCTAGGACATATATGAAAAACCTCCATACTGTTTTGAGTAAAACAAACTCGATCAATAAGAAATAAACGAAACTACTATATTCACTAGAACATGAAGAAGAGGGCTAATGTAATTGTGAGAACCCAAAGAAATCGAAATTTGAACAAAGAAGATTGTTCGCCGATTGAAGTTGCTGAAGATGAGCCATCTTTGTGAGTTCCGGTACCAACAGGGACGGGACGCATCCGCGTCCCCCTCAACCCAGCTTTGATTTGAATACCTAGTTTCCGGCTATTATCAAATGAGAATTGTTTTCCGTGACCCTCTTGCGAGGAATCCTCGATAGGCGATTTCGAAACGGTTTGGTGGTCATCAAGAGGTGAGCTTGAAGAAGAACATATGGGCAACAGAATTAGCAGTGACAGAATGATGAACACAGGGAGCAACGTTTTAAGTTGAGCCATTTTCGATGAGTCAGAAATGATTATCACTTGATTGGATAGGTAAGGATAGATATCGCCTTCTCAGAAGTGTATATATAGACAGCAACGAATGAATTCAATACACGGTCACAGGGGTCAAATTTGGTGGCATTTTGGTGAGGAAAAATTAGCTATAATAAATAACATGAATGGACCACGAAATTGGGCGAATGGATGTTATTATACTCGGATGGGAGGACCTACTACTACTTATTGAGCTATGGGATCAAAAGATCATTTGATTAGAACACCAAATTAAGTGCATATCCGATAAAACTTAAACGACACCAAGAACCTTCTAGCATGGAAGGCAAGGATGACACGCGCATAATAAGTAAAAAATTAACGATGGAATAATCAAATTTGACATATAATTATTATTTATTATATTTTGTGAACACCGCTTGGTTTAGACATTTACAAGAAAAAATAAAAGGACTAACACTGGTGATGAAAAGGTATACATGAATCACCATCGCTTTTAGTCTTAAATAATCATGAACCGTACGTAACTGTTATCGAAATATAAATAATGGCCAGGCTTATAAATGAAGGGGGAAAAAACAAAACAAAACAAAACAAACAAAACAAACGTTTCAAAATGTTGAAATTCCTTCAACATAAGTACTAAGCTAGCTCTACATGGAGGGATAAGCACAAAAGAATGAAATTGGGCTTTAAGGAATTATAAAACTATAATAAGCGTAATGCTAAATTTAGTAAGAACCTAAAAATGATGATTCCACATTATAATTACTCCTACTTACTAGAATAAAATGATTAGAAGGTAAGAAGACATCATCAACGGATAAGGTAAACTAGAGTTTGCCCAGTTTGACTAGGGAGGTCATTGTCGCTCAAACTCGGTCTTTGTTGGTCATAACTCACAATAATTTTGGCCGTGTTTCTTCTCAATGTGACTATTGTCCCCATTTGGGCTACCTTTTCTTCTTTGACTCTTCATGTTCTTGGCAACTTTCTCTCTCTTTCCGTGAAGCTAGAAGGCAAAAGGCCAGAACATTCCGATTTACCTGCTTTATCATTTTTATTTTTTTCTTTACGTAATGCGGGGAATCACTAAAAATCGGTAGTTTACCTGTAGCTTTTTATCGACTCATACTTAGGAACACTACTGAATGTGGAAAGATAATAAGAACTTCAACAGTAACATGCAGCAATTGACTCTCATCTGGGTAATGAATAACAATCATTAAAATGGCTTCAATTTCCTACTACACTATAAACATAACGATAGAGACTGGTAGTTTGGTTTGAAGATCGGCTTACCAAGGATTTACATGACAAGCTATTGTAGTCTGTCAGCTGAACAGAACACTCAGAATGTTTGGGTTGAGCCTCTGGTAGAATGAGGACTGGCCAGCTTTCTTGGCCACATCCCCAATCACGCGATCCATGTACAGGACATAAAGTGTACTCCGGTTTTCTAAAGCTTCTAATGCTTTTCGAGCACGGAGAATTGATGACAGCCATTCTTCAAAAAGTCCTGCAGAAGCACCATGGTCGATTTCAGATTATCAAAACATACAGCAGAGGATGTACGTACAAGAAGACAGATGAGAAATTATCCAGCAAGAAAGGGAAGACAACTTTTTAAGAAAGTAATAAGCATATTCACCCATTTCAAAGTCTTCTCTGGTTGACCAAGTCATCAAGTTATCTGATACCAGAAACTCAATAAGCTGAATCCTGCGATGCCAGCAAAAGAATGTTAACACCATCATAAAGAAATGCCAGATTATTGTCATTTCAATCTGCATTTGATTGACTGGGGAGTTTATTTAGAGTCATACGCTAGACGTAGGTAATCATGGCTTGAGAAGTGAATCAAAGAAGATGTTCAGCTGATAAATTCAAGCACTACCATAAAATTTTATCGACATGATTAGAAGATGCCATAAAGTCATAATCAAATATGTGTAGTGGTGAACTACATTTTTCACAAGAAAATTTTAACATAAAAGATATAAATGAAAAGGAAGCAATTACAGATATTATGGACGGTATAGTGGGCACTTACATCATGTACAAACAAGTGTGCATATTCCGAAAAGCATCATCAAATGGATCCATAAAAATCAAACTTTCAGCTGCTGTAGAAATTCCTTGAGATACTGAAAGGATGGCACGCTGACCCAAATAAGGATCGTTCCCAAGCTTTCGTATCAAGTGTTGGACACAGAAGTGGATATCAGTGTCACAGTTTTGAACCTCTTGGTTGCAACAATCTGAAGTAAGTTCATAAATTGAAAGTATTTTCAGTATATTGCCAACAAGATCAAATCAACTACCACATAACTTGCAATGTATAATCTGAACTTTAGTCAAGGCCGCCATACATCTACGTTATAAGAATTCATTCGTGCCAATCGTAGAAAATAGTCAACAGAGAAGATTTTGCAATTCAATATATGATATAACTGTTTTATGAGATTAAACTGTATCATCTTTTCATGACAATATTGCCTTCTCTCAAAAGTCAGCACTGATCTATGGAGCTGTGAAAATGATTAACGTTTGTCAGTATTGAAGATTTACAGAGCATACTAAGACAGATTTCACATATTCCAACAATCAAGTTCTCCATCAACAAGAAAGATTTCTCGCAGCTGCAAATATCAATACTTAGTGAAGAAAAATCTTATTATTATTTCAGTAGGTTAGGTTCGTCAACAAAGAAGTAAAAGATTACACATCAGTCTGCATTTGAAGATTATAAAAAAACAAAAAAAAAGACTAAAATTTTAGAAAGTGAGCTAAATTAACCATGTTTTCATCAACAGAAAAGCATAACAAATACTTAATCCAAATCCCTGAATGCTAAAAACAATTTTTCACAGGATAAAGAGCAAATTGAAGATGTACAAATCTAAGGGAACCATCATTACCAAACTAGGTTCACGAAAAACAATACAGATTATAATTTTCATCAGGTGTTTACCGTCTCCTTGTGCAGGATTACACATTCTTCTCAGTAATCGCATGATTAAACTATTGACAATGCCCTCAACTGTTTGTAGATTAATTTTCAAAGGAAGTATGGTCTTCAATGTCGCTTCAGAAACGAATGACCAGGTGTTAGAGAGATAAAAGCAGAGAATTATGATACTAAAAGGTCGACAATACAGAAAGCATCAATGGCACCATGGCTTTTAGATGCAAGAATGAGGTTTCTCCCCTGCAGAGAGTGTAACAAGACTACAGAAGTGGGTATAGAGTCGCTAAACTTATCAAGAGAATTATTATTATCCTTCAGGCCGATGACAACATTTAATCCAGCCACTACCATGACAAACAAAAACGAAATGGCTATCTATTCTTTTCTGCTTTTAACATGCAACAAGAAAGATGATGACAATGCTACTTTCAGACCCGAACAAGGAAACTGACTAAGACAAAACTGACATTATACACATTTAAATTCTGGTAGCGATTACAAAGATGGAGGAACAGTTACAGAGAATGAAGTCCACAGCTTGGTGCGACCAATTTTTGAAAGCTTTTTCCTCCATCTGCTAAACAAACAAATAAAAAGACAAACTACAAAGTGAACTCATGGCAAAAGATGGGTGAATAAAGTATAAATAAACTGTGGTAATTAGTAAAGGTGCAAGATGAAACATACTTTGGCAGGAGAAACTGTATCAAATAGCTCCACTAGAAAATCCACTGAAGCACTTAGTTGCTCAATTTCATTATCGCTGCTACTTCCTGAACCAAAACATTGGCAGAATTTGATATCAAGGAATACAAAGGGAAACAGAAGACAAAACAAAACCGCATACAAGTTTTAGTCTGATCAAGTGCAAAGATAAACCTATAAGCTCTTTTTCAGATAGTTGAAGGAAAATAATGATCTAAAAGGAGCAGTAACCACCGTCACATAGTTAGATAGCTATAATCAAGAGAAAACATGGTATCTATTTGTAGCATCATTAAAATGCGATACCACAGATAATTGGAGTAGGGAAAAAATCTCATTTATCCTGTTATTAGCAACAAACATAATTCCAGCAGAACAGTCCGCAAAGAGGGGTTCTTGAGAACACCGTGCAGACACATCACTATCTGAAATTTTCCAATCATTCATATATCACCCAGAAAAATTAACAATTATGGTAGCACATTGGATTGCATCTTTTAGGTAAAGCACTACTTTGGAATCAAAAGGCAGGAAGAAATTATGCAGCCCATTAATTTGTATAAAGGATTTCCGTCCAATACTACCAGGGGAAAAAGGCAATGCTCATAAGCATTCATTACCGTATACATGCCTACAAGAAATGGATTGTGTGTTAGGAATATACCAAGCACACGTTCTTGTGTTACAGCATCATCTCTTTTCCTTCTTCTGTCCTTTATTCGCACTGAAAGAAATGAAAACCCTTAAAACCTCAATTATAATTCAAAAGCACAACAAACGAAGGAGGTAATCTAGAAAAATAAACCTTGTCTGAAAAATCTCCGGCGCAAAAGATCGTTGAATCTCAAATTAGAGCTGTCGTCCAGTTGATTTCCACCCAATACGCCCATATCATCAAAGAAATAGCATTTGCAAGACGCATTTTGAGGAAACAAGTCATATTGCAGGCCATCTGGTTACCATTTCAAAGAACAAAACAGAAGAAAGAGACTTAGAATTTCCCAGTCTGCTCGTAAAACAGATTCAGCCTAAAATAGGAACCGAACATCAATTACATAGCTCAAATTTTGAGTACGAAGATTAAGTAGAGGTAGAAGACTAAAAACCTTCGGCAATTTTGAGTTCCTCTTTCAGTCTCAAAATCTGTTGTTTCCGCTCCTTTGCCTAAGAAAAAATCACCGGAAACAAAGAATTCGATCAAGCTAGGGTTTCACAGTAACAAAATCAAATAATAATAGTGGATCGGAATCAAATTGAGATGACCTTGCGTTTCCATTTGAGTGATGTCTCCTCCGATTGAGAATTGGAAGTCGAAACCCCAGGGTTATGATCAACACTACTCCGGGATTGAAGATTTTCTTTCAGAAGAAGCTTCGATTTCAAAATAGCCACCGCCACCGCCATCTTAAGCGTTTCATTGTCGTCCTTCTGCGATATCTGCGTCCCCATTTTTCGCTTCCGAACTACTCCTGAGCTCCACAGTACAATTGTGGTGTATTTTCTTAGGGCGGGAGCTCAAGATACAATTACAAAGCTAAAATGTAGAAAAATTGCTTTTGAATCCTTATTGTTTGTCTGGTTTAAATTTTGGTCCCTTGAATTTTTAAAAACATGAATTAATCACTACCTTGTCTTGTCCTCTTTGGTTTGTTTTTAGCACTTCTATCACTTATGTCTATTCTTGGATGGAGTCGAGACTCTTCCATGAGACATATATATCTTATATATATACATCTTTTTTTATTTACGAATTGTTTTTAGTTTCCATTTGCAAATTGATATCACATCAGTCCCTAAACAGTGGAGCCGATCGAGAATGGTAAATTCGATTCGCAAAGCAAACATGCGCATTAAGAAGTCGATCCTCGGAAGAAAGTAGAGAAGCATAGCGACGGGGCGACACCAATGAACCAAGTCTCCAACAAAAGCAAATCATTCTAATAGCATGACACATTCCATAATCCAACTAAGGTTGTACTAATACTCTTCCCTTTGCTACAGTTCCCAAATCTTGCACGCTCAAACAATATCAGTTTCTATGGGATCCAATGGGTGAATCTCCTGAAAGAAAAAACCTGTTCTTATGGATCCCCCAATTTCAAACTGTTAAAAGGAGAATTCAGAAGCAACATGCAAACACCAAATACAAGGGGAGCTGTGGAAACAACTTCTAAAAGCAAAAAGGAGCAGGAGAAAACCATACCCAAAGCTTTCTTCTCCATACACGGAGAAAAACCACCAAAACAACTCTGCATGTCAAATACCTAACAAAAATGGCTAAATATGCTACAAAATCTCTACTTCAAAATGGTGCAGCAGTGTTTTCAGCGGTGACATTTCAGCGCTACCATGTTCAGCAAAAGAAATAAAATTTCACTTAGTCACGAACAAATTTAATGATATAGGGGGGAAAAAAAAAAACTAATGAAATACAAAAACAAATGGGTCATCAAAGAACCCACCCTTTAACCTCAAGCTAACATGGCATATGATTGACCATATTCTCTTGAGAACAAAATTCTTAAAGTCTGATTCTTTCTGATTTAGCGAACACACTACAATGTCCTCGGGAAAATATACAACTCACTTTATAATATCTCGTTTCTCCCGCGTTTCAACCTTATCTGTAATCTGGAACAAAGTTTCTCAGATCCCCCAACATGTAATGATTTGAGAACATCCACAGCCCACATAAACTCTCACCGATGAGGAGTAAAGCTTTTACTGGAACAGCCCCTGGCAGGCCTCGACATCAGATGCCTGAGATTCCAAAACCTGTTTCCCAGCTGGAGTAGAACTCAGAATCTGAGTTGCAGAAGTAAATATTGCTTTCTGAAAGAAATCATCCGTTAGCTTCTTTAATATCTCGTGCACCATCTTGAAGTCCAACGCTCCAACCAAGATTAACCTCCCCAAAATCTCACCAAAGTTAGCAGGTGCCTTCGGCAGATCAATGCCAAGATCATCCAACATTGCAGCATATAGAGACAGCCCAGTAGCTACATCCTTTGCAGTAAAGACCTCCTTCATCCACAAGTATTCAATAAGTTTTCCAACAGGTTCAACGCAAGGTGGACTTTTGTCCAATCCTAGAAGAAGAGCTTCCTTGACAACCTCAGAATGATAAGCTGGCGACTTCAATTCCTCAACACACGCTAATGCTTCATCCAAGATTCGCACACCGAAATATTCCTCCAGTAGGAGGATTGTTTTTCTTTTGAGTTCGTCTGTATTCACCCTCACTGTTGGAGCGAGTGGTTTTTCAACAACTACAGGTGTAGATGCTTGTTGGGGTGCCCTATAAGAGGGGGGTGCTTGTGGGGTATGGTCAGCTGACACACCATAGGGTGTGCGAACAGGAGGTGCCCCAGTGCCTTGCAAAAGGGCACTGGTCCTACCACTCACCAGACCACCACTGCCCTGTGGGAGAAGTCTTTGGTTCAATGATGGTGACTTGCCCACTAATGGTGGTTGTACACGCCCAGAAGGCTGCACCATTGCCCCATCACCTCTTGGCATTGAGCGAGATCTGGGAACCTCCCAGTTGTCAGGATCAATTCCAGGCATCCCTGGCATCTTTCTGGCACCTGGCATTCCAGGCATCATACCACCGGTGCCAGGCCGATTGATTGGAAACCCTCCGGGACTAATACTTGGCACATCAGAGCTTATGCCACGGGGATTTCTAATGTTGGCAATAGCACCCGGTCGCAGGCCCAAAATCTTTACTGCTTCTGAATGAATCTCACCAATGGTTTTAGCTTTCACCTATAAATAAAAAATAGATAATGACATGAATGGTAAGTACTCAACATGAAATAAACCCACTTAAACAATGATGAACAAATTATCACCTCTTCCCGCCTGGGGATCCAGTTATTAGCCCGTAAATCGAGAACATCGCGAACCATAAACCGCAGGCGGGGAGCAAGCTGAGTGTTCGTTGATAGTTCCTTCAAGCGGTTGAAGTACACCTCATTAGTACGGCGTGCTTTTTGGTTTTCATCAAGCTGTTTGCCAATAGTGTTAAAGAACTGGCATATAGCCTCAACATTTTCCTCAGCTGGACAGCTCTTTGTGTCAGGCCCTAAGAGCTCCTATTAAGACGTCAAATGGAATATCATTAGTTTATAAGCATAACACTTTCTCTTCTTTTGCTCAAGAAAGAATAAAACCTGAACAATGTGATGAACAATCTTTTCGGGAACCATCTTCTGTTTAAGAAGCTCCCCTATCAGCCGGATGTTTCCCAAAGTCCGAAGCTTAAGCATCCTATCTTTATCTTTACGTTCCATCTCCTGCTCAGGAGCAGTCATTTGCCTAACCTCTTCTCTCAACTTCTCAGCACCCTCAAAGGCCTCCTGGCAATTATTCAAAAGAACCCGCTTGAATGTAATTGGTTTCCCTTCTGGTTCTTCAGATGGAAATGGAGGCAACTTCTCATTGAGGTCTGAACACAGCTGAGCATACATGGGGCAGAATGTAGGCTCCAGAACAGCCTTGTCAAATATTAAAGAGATGACTCCCTGCAAATTCATGAGGATATTAGATTCTACAACAACAACAAAAAACAAGCCTTTTAAGGGATATTGATTAGGCAAGAGAACCCTTTGGTAGCAGTTTAGTTCACAAGCCAAGAAAGGTAACTTAAAGGAGGGGGGGAAATATCCCTTAAAACCAAAGTGCGCAGAAGAGAGGGGGAGGGGGGGAGGTGTTACCTTCAAAATGTCGGCTGATGTTATTCCGGAATCTATCAGTTGACCTTTCAATACGTCAAACTTCTCCGGTGTCAGCTTGTTCAGGATTCTGCGTAAATGAATATTGATTAGGCAAGAGTAAAAAAATGCATCAATAAAGCTACAACGTGGAACTACCTGCAATTTCTCAAGCTCACAAACTATACATAAATCCCAAAATGCATACGCTCCCACTCCCACACCACCCCCCTCTTCTCTCTTCTCTCTCTCTAAAGCACAAAATATTATTTACAATCACATCCAAGAAATAAGAAAATCATATCCAATCACAAAGGCAAAATGTAAACTTGGGGGTGATTGGGAGGAACAGATGTTAATATAGCTCCGAGAACTTACCCCTTCACAGCCTTCAAAACACGATCCTTATCAGAAAGAACCCCCCTCCGAGCTGTCCATGGCACTTCAGCCTTGTTGATGAAGGCAGGTGCATGTCCTCCCTGTATCATAAAAGATTGACGAAATAAGCACAGAGATGATATAAGAATCAAATCAGGTCAGAACCTATGAAGTGCAATGTCTCCTCACTAACACCAAATACACTAGAATTTAGATTGAAACTTCCGAAATTCCTTTCTCACAGACCCAAAAAATTGGAATCTTGCCGAAATTAACGCCAATTATTAGTCTACTTGATCATCCAACCCAAATGTAAGGTACTAAGTTACAAGATCTAGTAAATTTATTGCATGGAAGAAGAGTACGCAAACAACAGAAACTAAAATACCAAAGATTTCAATCAAAAAAAGCAGTGCAACCATAAACATAGCACAGTAAAAAAAAAAAAAAAGAGTTTTGAAAGCTAGAACTTGTTCACAAGTTCAACTCAATTCAAACTTCCATCAGAAACGACAGCAGTGTCTTAACAAATGAAAATTTCTTAAATTGTTTCTGAAATAAATAAGACAAAGGTACAGGAGCGATAATGGCATTCTATTCTTGTTACCACAAAAATAAATAAATTAAAAGCACAAAACGGGTACTCAGAAAAGGTTAACGGCAACGATAAGAGAATAATTTTCTAGACTGAAACCATAACCTGAAACTTACCACTGGGTTCACAGGTGCCGGAGATCTTCCAAATGGGGCATTTGGTGGCTCCTGCCGTGGATTATACTGATTTGGATCTTGGTGCCTAGGTTGTTCCTTGTGCTTTTCCCAGGATCTTTCTTCTGGGGCTTTCTCTGGTGAAGGCCGGCTACGCCAATCACGATTGTCTGGCTCAGAGTACCGGTTCTGCGAATTTGTTATCTATAGAGGGAAAGGTGAAGTAATGAGAAAGAAGGAAGACAACAGAAATTCCAAATTCCAATTTAGTGATATCAGACACATTCCAAGCAAGTTGAATCAGATAATTACTCCTTTGCATGTAAAGATTACATGGGCAAAAGAGTATGATCCAAACAAACTTACATTTGGTTCCACCCGGCCCCAGGTTGGATCTTCGCCAAAAAATTCAGTTTCAACTTCATTTTTGACTTTTAGAATGTCTTCTGGAGTACTGACCACCTATATCCAATAACAAACCAATTAAGTAGGCAACAATATCAGGTAATCGAACATCCTCTAATCAGGCAGTTTAAGTTGATTTCAATAACAGCAATTAAAGATGCACTGGAACACATGGAAACCAAAATGTAATCATTCAACCATTGTAAAGGACAATACCAAGGCACACCAACTCATCTAGCACAAACCAAAAGAGAACAAGCAGCTTCCAAATCTAGCAAAGAAAGTTAAAGTCTTTCCACACCATGACACGGTGTTGAATTGAATAGAATAGCATCAATGCAATTTCAATATTAAGACACCAGACATACAGAAATTTTCTCCAACATGGAACCCCCCCCCCACCCGGAAAACTAAAAGTTCATTTCAGAAATTTGAACCAAGTGCTACTGAAGAATAAAATCAATTAAGGTCTTGAAATGGTATTTTTTTTATTTAAAGATAAAATACAGTAAAAATATTATCTGCATTACCAATGAAAGTAATGCACTAACAAAGATGGACACAAAAATAAAGACAAGTGCAGAAAGAAGAATATGCAATCAGTACCTCCCTCAACTGTAGGAGGAGATCCTTGGTATACCGAATACGCTCACGCCCCTCGAAACGGGAGTCCGCAGCCTGCAAAGACGAATCATAATTAGACAAAATCAAATACCACCAAACGACAACGGATATACTAAACCTGCAAAAAACCATCCTGTCACCCTGGCCCCACCTATAAATAAACAGACTTAACCCACTTCTCGCTAGATCAGAAACATATTTCACTCATCTCAGAAAAAAGTATCTACCAACATATAGACAAATAAAGACTCTTATATTGAACCTCATATTTAACCCCCCCCCCACCCCCCCCAAAAAAAAAAGAAAACTAGAGCAAGATTGTACTGCTCAACTATTAGCAGAAATTAACAGTCATGAAAATATGAATGAGAGCGCAAGGAAGACATGCATTTAAAGACATAGCCAAAAATGAAATAAGGCTACTTATCAGAACATAGATTCTAAAGATTCTATATAGAGTTCAATGTCTGTAGATTTCTTTATGGGCTACACCAAACTCCTTGCATGCCCACCTAAAGTCTACATTTTTTTTGTGTCCATATTTACAGCAAGTACACATCTTAAATGCACTGCCAAGAATTAGGACACAGGAAACTCCAGCCAAAGAGTAATATACAATTGTAACACATAGACCTCTTCAGATAAAACATCAAAGTAAAAAGGCCATTTGTTTCAACCAAAAAGAGGATAAACAAAAACCAATAATAACTATTCTTAGGTACAAGGAAGCCATAAGACCAATTGAGTGAGAGACAAGAATAATACCCAACCAAATCAATGAGGCAACAATTCATCAAAATCCTACTTTTCATACAGGGTAGACCTAATGTCGAATAAACGAAGAAGCGCAGGTAATAAATAATGAAAAGTGGGTGACTTCAGAATACACAAGCATAGAACACCATCTTCACCAATTAAAATAATTTGCATGTAATAACAAAGAAACAAGTCACGAACCCCAAACAACGATTAAAGCATAAATTTCCAATTAACAGAAGTATCACGTCAAATTTACTTTAGTCAACTAAAAAATGCCGAAGTTAACACCATATCACGACTAAACTTCAAACAATATCATTAATGATGAACAACAAAGAATGAATCAGAGTGTCATGCAGGTGGGTTCATATGCAGGTAGAGAAATAAAATAAAGACCACAGATTATACGCAGTTCCTCCCTCGCGGCCATAAAGCATCAAATTCAGGAAGTAGAGTGTTACAACCAACTACCAAATAAGTGGTAAGAGTAGAACGAAGCACACAACTAAGTATTAGCTAAAAAGATAAGACACTATTCACACAGTCCCTCAATATCCAAAAACAAGCAAAAGAAACAAGACAACAACCTTCCACCATACCAAATCACTAAACATATCCATGGATGCATACAAACAAGACAATAACCTTCCACCTTACAAAATCACTAGATTGACTAAGAAACCCGAGCACAGACACAAATACACACAGACCGTTCGATAAAACTCTGGTATTGAAACAGGCAACAAAAAAACCCTTCTTCGTCATCCCCAAATTCCCCCTCTTCCCAAAAATCGAATCTTGAAGCAGACGAACATTAACAACAATAACAAAAACAACCCAGATAGTCCAAATTAACATCCAGCCAATCCAAACAAACCTAGATCTGATCCAAAAAAGACAAGGAACAGAACATATACCTTAAAAGAGGACAAAGTAGCACCGCCGCCGCCATAGGGTCGGAACAAAGGGAGATCAGAATTACTATTGTTGTTGATTGCAGAGGGTTCAAAGCGAGGACCAAGAACTCTGCTTCCACCTCGGCTTCCACCTCCAGGACGTAAACTTATCACCGTCTGATCAGCCTGCATAACGTTCCACAAAAAAGCAATCTCCGCCGTTCAAGATTGTAAGCCTTCGCAAACAACAAAGATTCAAACTTTATATATAGATATGTATGTATCTATATATAAAATTCAATGATGATAAAGAAGAAGCAAAAAAGGGATTAGATAGAGGGGGAGGGATATATATGTATCTGTCTGGGTTAGAGAGAGAGAGAGAAAGAGTTTTTATTTGTTTTCCTCTCTCTACTGGGAAGAGGAATGAAGGGAAAGAGGAGAGGGGAGCAGTTTTGCGTCGTTTATATATGTGGCCTCACTAAACGGAGAGAGAAAAACCCTTCTTCGGATTGTTATTCTCAGAATTTTTGTTTTTTAATTTTTCCTTTTTTTCTATATAGGAGTATTTTTTTCGAAGTATATCTAATAAAAACTTTAGTTGCAATATTTAACATGTTACATCTTTTTTTCCTATATACTTTTTATGACATTTTTTATTTCACTACTACTATCCATAATATATTACTAGCATAACAAATTACATCATTTATTTATTCAAAAATATATAATAACCATTTTTATTTCCTATTGTATAATTTATTTAGTTTATAATATATATACAAAAATGGTATTAGTAGTTGTTTAAATTTTTCATAAATTTTATATTTATTAGTTTACAAATTATGTGTGCATTAATTCTAACAATTTATTAATTTCAACGGCATTAGAAAAATGAATCATTGTCGGTTGTTACCTCGAAAAATTTCCTTAAATGAGCTCAAAGTTGTCAAATCAGGTATCGATAACCTAACTATGTAACCTTTTAAGATAATAATGGTATTTTTGTCGTAAACGCTTATTAACAAAGATCTGAAGACATTCGTTATCATTATTCTAGTCAGTTACTCTTTACTTCGTCTTCAATAACCATATCGTGAGATATCATATATGTGCACGTTTTACTACATTGATCAATGCCAATAGCGAATTAAATACAAACGATAGTTCAACAAAGTGAAGTACATTAAATATACTCAACGTACGTCTTTTCTTGTCGTTTCATGCATCCTAAACTTAAGAATCTTTGTATCGTGCAATATATGGAATTTTTCACCAGTGTTACTCACTTATGGTACATTTCATTAACATGATAATACTTTCTTTCTACATCTTGTGTGTTTGACTGTAAACTCAATAGCAAGAGTATAGTCTTGCAACACATTGGTAAAATATTAGTAATTGATGGAGCATGTTGATATCGTTGTGGTAGACGGTCGTTGAACCACCAAAAATAAATTTAACCTATTTAAAACTTATAGCAAGCAGTAAGTAGGGTCGATCTACTGGGACGGCAGTAAATCAATAAAAATCTGATTAAAGTGCAAATAAAAACTGAAACAGAACAGATTGTCACTTGGGAGAGTGAGAAAGTCACTTGACAGAGTGGTGAAAAACTAGGATCATCCTCCTTCCTATTTATATGTTCACGTTATGATTTGGGTAATTTCTGTTACACATATGAGCATTGTCTGATCAGGCACAAATATTCCCTACGTTAACTTTCGATACCGGCAAAGAGTTCCAATATAATCAAATTAACTATATATCTATGTTAATTATTCATTACTTCAAGCCATTAAGAACTTCAAGCCTAATGATCATCTATGCCAATCAACTAACTCTCATTGATGATTAAAACCAAGGGTTGTTATCCCCTTTGTCATAGACTAGAGTTCTAAATTATATTCAACCTCTCAAAATTCCATAATATGCATGCACAGTTAGTTAAGTGACCAGTTTAACTAAAAGGTTAATCTTAACACTTAAACTAGATACAATGCTTCATATAAGAACTTGAATCAGAACATTCACATATAGATAATAGGGATTAGGTCCCAGTGAGAGTTTAGCTACTCATGCTTATCGAGTGAAACATGAGAGCAACAAAATATAAAGAGTTCATCAGATCCCAACTCAGAAGATTAGGAAAGACAGAACTGGGAAAACTGTGCAGCAGAGATTCTGTCTGTTGACTAGGGTAAGTGAACTAGTCTCTTCCCCGAGTGACAGTTTCTCCTGTGTACTGCAACACTCTGTTTTCTTTATGTTCCTAACTAACTCTAATTACTCTGTTTTGGATCTATTCTAATTCCTTATCTGTTATTTTTCATCTGGAATTAGTTGTCCTATTTACAAAGATTGAAGGTGGCTTTGTTGTTTATTCTACTGGTCTTCTTCATCTTCAGCTCAGAGCAACAACTTGCAGTAGTTCGAGTTGTTTATTTGAGCAACTTGTCCATTTGCCAAGTTGCCTTCTTATGGTTGGCTGCCTTCTTCTCCTCAGAGCAGAATCTCATCATTGCCTTCTTTCTTAGTTTTCTTCTCTGGCACCTCTATCTCTGATTCTAGCCACCAATTTCTCTTTTGTTCTTTCCTTAATCCTCTAGCCACCAACAAAAACAACAACAACAACAGGAACATCAGTCTCAGTAGCAGCCTCAGCAACATGCTTCCATTTAATCAATTGGTTCCTTCTCTTTCCTTCTGTTGTAGCCCCCAAATTGCCTCCAATCTTCTGCTCTTCTTCTATCTCAGTCAAGATCAGCTGCAATAGTGGCAATTCTCAACATCAACATCAACAGCCTCTTCCCTAAATTCCTGCTTCTTTATTTATTAGAAACAGCAATGCAGTGGCTGTGATTGAGCTCTATATTATTTCTCTTTCTCTTTTTCCACTTGCAGTAATTAGCAGCGAACTCAGCTAAGTGTCCGGGGGGTCAGCTGACCCCGGGGCCGCCGCCAAGATCCATGAGAGCTCTTAGGATCGGAAATTTTTGCTTGTTCCACCATATCTTTTCAGCCCCCAATTTATGAAGAAAAAGATCGCTAAAGTGATTTTGAAGATTTGTAATTGAAGGAGGGGGAGGGGGGTTCGAAGGTTTTTAATTGAACGAGTTTCAAAGGGTGGGCAGTCGAATTTTTCCGACAAAATTGCAACTGGGATCTGATGAGCAAGATGACGACTAGGGAGCATACAAATTATAAAATATTACTAATTAGTATATCTACTTTATTAGTTTTTCAAAAAGACCTCTCTTTTATTAAAACCCCATCATATGATTTGTTGATCTGCCCCTGAAATTTTACATTCAATATACTTCGACCCCTATATAATATGAAATCCAGCCCCCCCAAAGCCGCATGTCTAGTTCCACCACTGGCAGCGATTAGCAACTTTTGATGACAGAGTAGTCGTCTCCCTTCATTAGTAGCCATTCTTTCTTTCTTCTTCCACTGATTCAGATCAGTAGCAATAACAAAAACAACAGCATGCTTCAACTTGCAGCAACTTCTTCTTCTTTTTGTTGGTTTCCACTTGCTAAGAATCCACAACTTGTGGTGATGGATTAACAACCTTCCTTTAATAGCCTGAATTCAGCTTCTCTTTTTCCTCAATTGATCAGTTTCATCCTCTAATTCCAGCAACTCCAATTATAGTCTTTTTCATGCTCTTTTTCACTTTTTGGCCAAACAATTTCAGCAAATTCCACTTTTATCCATACCTAAAAGTAAACTAATTCTACTTAATTGACACTAATTTACAAGTGAAAAGAAATAAGAATTACTTGCTAAAATGGGTAAATTTAACTGTTATCACATTGTTAAATCCTATTATAATTTCAAAAGGGATAAAAATATTTACATATGCATAAGTCATTGACAACTATTTACGACATTATTGCAGTTATTCATTGATCATGGTACTTCATAAGCTGATTGTCAAAAAATTTCAATCAATCTTTTATGAGTGGTGTAAGGTTGTAAGCTCTTTTATGTCGACTACATCACTTCTCTTTTAGAAAAATATTGCATATTTGATATGTTTATATTTTACCTATGATTATATCCCTAATTTGTGATTTTTGCAATATATTTTGAGTACAAATATGCTATTTATATGATTTTATCTTTATTTGTAAGTTTTGTACTCAAAAGGAGGAATTGTTGAAATTGTCGGCTAAAATGAAGATAAAAGCAACTCAAAGGGGAGAATTGAAGATTTGATTAATTAACAAGGAAGAAATTAGAACACTTGAAGATTTAGAGGACTGAATTGTAATTTTCGTTTTTTCTTAGGGTTTGGCCGAAACAAGGTGGTGCGGCTGTTTTTGGAGTTGAATGGGTAAGAATTTTAATCCCAATATTATTTGCGGAAACAAGTTTCCTTCTTCTCCAAATAGTAGAGTTTGACAGAAGCCTATAAAAGGAGGATTAGAGTTTTATTTTTAGAACCGAATTGGACCGAAATCTCACCGAAACCCTCACGGCTGAAAATCCCCCTCCGTCGTTGCAACTCACTGCTGCTCCACCTTGCTTCCTTGATCACCTCCGCCGACCACCACCTTGACCATCCATCAGCCTTGAACTTCGGCAGTTTTCACCTCTCCACTTTACGCATAATCACCATCATCATCCCATCACCGCCGCAAGTCCACTTCCACGCACACCACCATTAACATCACCAGCCTGTTTCCACCTTGCTACTGCGTCGTCACCTTAATCATCACCCCATCACCAGCAGCACCTTATTCATCATCATCACCAAAGCACACACCTCACCATTACTCCAAGCAACCCACGCACCATCAGAACCCTTGTTTCCAAGCAACCCACGCACCATTGCCAACATCATCAGGGGGGCAGCTTTTGACGAGAAGAAGAAAGAAGCAGCCGTGGACTTCCAAACTGTCAACTCGGCGGCTTCGTTCTCTTCTCGGGTTTTTGAGTTTTAAATTAATTTCAGATTTGTGTGGATTATATCTCTAAATATTATTGAATTATTTTAATAATGTTTAGTGGCTAAATTCTTTTAACCTAGGGCTTGGATGTAGCCACCGGATTTATTTGGTTTATTTGGTTCATTATTATTTGACTTTTTCATTAATTAATATTTGTTATTCTTGTTTTAATTCGTGTAAGTAATTGGCCACTATTTGCACGTCTGAAGATACTAATCGAAGTAGCGAGAG